AAAAAAAAAAAGCAAAAGGAGCATTAGTTCCGATGATATCTTACGCGTTCGGATTCCAGAGGCTCCAAAAACGCGAATTGAATAAACCTAACACGTCCGGCAACACCTTCCTCGCCAAACCCTTCCGTTCAGTTCCCGCCGGCGTCCGTACAATCACCGGCGAACTCTCCGGTCTCTCCCCGGCTACCTCCTCCTTTTTTCTCTCCGCTACGTTAGGACCTCCCTCGTCGGTCAATCTGCCCGGCGAGCCCGCAGGGGACAGGAGGGGGATTTGATCGGAAACGGCGGAGTCATCGGCGGCAGATTCGTCGGTTTGGATCAACGGCTCGGCGGGTTTGGGCTTGTCTCCTCCCCGACGACCGGATTTCTCTTTCTTCTTGCCCCTGCCGCTGTTTCTCTTGGATTTCTGGGAAGAAGCGGAAGCAGAGGCTTCGCCTCTAATCAGATGATCTTCGAAGGCCTCGATGGCTTGGTGGATGAGCTCGCGATTCGGCGATGAATCCCATCGGAACCAGTAGCTGGTGTAACAATCGAAACACTCACAATCGAACTCCGGTGGTTGATGGGTTTCACCTTTTTTCCCAGATTTATTCCTCTTCTTCTTAGAGTCATGAGCCGTGGAGGAAGACGACGAGGAGGGGCTCCTGAACTTTCCGACGGCGGAGACGGCGGTGGTGGTTTTGAGGGACCTAGTGATCAAGTAAGCGAGGACTTCACGGTCGTCGGCTGAGAGAGCCGAAGCGAGAACAAGGATCGCGGCGGGAAGAAGCTTCAAGACAGAGAGAAAGCCATCTCCATTGAGAGAGCTCGAAGGAGGAGATGGATAAACTTTACCTTTGTTCTTTATTTTCATGGCGGATTCTTATCCGAGAGAGGGGACGACGAGCAGTCTTTAATCAGAGGAGAGAGAAAGATGAATTGATTTGGTTTTTGCAGATAAGAAGAAGCCGTCGTGGCGTGATTTTTCAGGTTTGTTATTTGGAGTCCAGCGCGTGCTCCTCACGTCCCTACGCCCATTCAAAAGGGATTTAAAAAATGATTTTAAAAGTCATTTTTATTTTATAATCTTAAAATTTTTGATAATTTCAATTTTATCCTTGAATATAATAATTATTTTTTTATTATTATTTTATTCAGAAGACTTTAATTCGTTTTCGAAAAAACTTAGTATTTTTCTTATTCGATTTAATGTTTCTTCTAAAAATGGAAGTCATGTCCGTTATAATTATCTTTCGATGGACGTTTTTTGAAGTATTCAACTTTTATTTCTTTTATTTTTTTTATTGTAATTAATTTATTTAATTCTGTAATTATATTATTAATTTGTTTTTTTTCTATTATTCGTTGCATATCTCTTACATTATTTTCTATTTCGAAATATTGTATTGGTTTGTTTAATAATTCAATATTTTTCTTATATATTTTTTACATTCTAATCGTTATGGTTTTCGATAATGTCTCTTTTAATTTCTCTTACTGCGTTAAATATTGAACTGATCATTTTT